AGATTACAATTAAAGATGTAGCTAGTTTATAATAATAATAATAAACTAAATAATATTAGAAAATTATTATTATTGCATAAAGGGCTTGTAAAAGGCTTGTAGTTCATAAGAGAAACATTATCTGGTCAGTTTCCTAAAGGTGGAAAGGAACTTTCCATAAATTTTATTTTTGTTGAGGAAAAAACTATTTTAAAAGTATTTTAAAACTTCTTGAAAGTAATGCTTCTTCCATAATGGAGAAATTTATAATATTGGAACATTAACAATATGATTCATATTCTTAAAAAGAAGCAATCACTGTCGAGAATGAAAAGTTGTAGACCATTAGTAAAAAAACATTATAATTATTCTTTCATATCCATACACCTACCCAAGAAAGTTTAAAAACTGCATTTAATTCCCAAAATATAACAAGTGGCCATCCATTTAGTTCATATAAGCTATTCCATTTTCTACCAATACTTTACTCCAATCTACATATAGAACCCCCTTTTTTTCTATAACAACCCAAAACTCTATAATACTCGTTCAGTCTACTCTTTAAGTACTTCAGTGATGCATTTCATTTTCTACCACTTTTTGAAATGAAACCATGTAGTGTGTTAAAAAAGTAACACTGCCTTAAGTGGAGTTGTTATTGTTTTCCATATGTTAAACTTGTGTTATTTAGTCTTAGTATCTGCATAATTTTATTATGAAAACACTATTTAGATTTATGGATTCAAACTTTATAATTGTCTTTAAAACCTTAATTATTGCCTCGAGTTCTCCTCTTCATCAAAATTGTGTTAAGATATTTCAACCTATCCCATTATAACAACCTCTTCCAAACCTGGAATCATTCTGGTGCTTTTTCTCTGAACTGTTTCCAACAACTCAACATCCTTGCTTAAATAAAGTGACCAAAACTGAAATAATATTTCAAATGAAGCCTAACTAGCTCCTTGTGGAATGAACCAATGATCTTCTTTGACTAAATATTTCTATTTGTACAACCTGAAATTCTGTTTACATTATTACTAGCTATGTAACTTGTTTAGAAGGCTCTAGAGATTTTATAATAGCTCTGCTAAGATATGTTTATCATCACCTTCACTTAAAGTTTCCCCAACAATGACCTAAGATTAATTAATGCTGTGATGATCAGTATGCATAACCTTACTCTTAGTAGGATTAAAAAACAACTTCCATGTGTTATCCCAGCTCACCAAATCATCCAAATCTTGTTGCATAACTGCAGCATCTTCAGAAGAACTTTAAATATGTATTAATTTAATTTGATCTGTAAACTTAACCAGTTTACTGATTGCACAAGACAACTGAAATTTTATAGCATTAACAACATATGTCAGGTAATCAAATGTAATATAATTGAAATTAGAAATTAATAGTTAACAGTAACAAATACTCTTAAACCTTAATTAGTGAATAACTTGGTAGTTTAGCTTAATTTTTTTAAGCTTTATCATTTCTTTTAACATTTTTCCCATACTCAAAAGTACTTAAATAAAAAGCATACAAGAAATTGTAGAGAGCTTTAAGAACACGTTACAGCTGTTTGCCCTTAATGGTCTACACTTAAGCAAGATTGGAAAACAAGGATGTTTAGAAAAGCAGTTAATGGATGTGTTTGGCCAGTTTAAGAACCTGAAAAAGAGCAAGATTACAGAAGGCCATTCAGCCCATCTTTTAAATGCACATATCAAACAACCAACGAAAGCATTGAAATCAAAACTAAATGCTTTTTACATCCGTATTTCAACCTGACTCATTAAGAAATAGTTAACCTAATATTAAAATAGTTTTTCTATCAGTTGACAACCCATAATACCCATATACCAAAGTGAAAAAAAAAAGTTTAAAAAATTTAGAATATTTATATGGCAATGTAAGCAGATATATGGAAAATGTAAATGAATGAGAACTAAGAGAAAGAAAAAGGTACACTTACCTAAATATAGTAACAAGAGAAAGAAAAATTTTCAACTGACATTAGACTTAACACATTCAAACAGCTATTTTTTTAAAATAATATGAATGTTCAAATAAAGTTTCTAATCCTTAACCTAATTAATATTAACTTGCAATCAGAGCAAGTCATGTACTTAGAACAAAACTAAAAGTCAACCAGGCTATTATTATAGGTGATTTAATATACTTATGTTTCTTCTAATAAAGATTAGAATGCATTCTTTCATCAGTTTAGTACCCTCACAGTTAATGATATTTGTGGTCATAATCCCAATAATGTCGCTTAAGTACAAGGACAAAATTAATCATAAATACATATGTTAAGCTAATAATACAAAATAATTCTTAGAATAAAATAAAAATAAAAAGTAATGATATTCAGTATACTAAATAGTATAACCAGTATTGTTGATGAAAGTAACAATAAATAAGATACTATACCTAGAGAACTTATTATGAATTTGAACTAAAGCATTGGTTTATGGCTGCCATCATCAGGGTATACTGTAGAATAATTCATGTATAGCACTATAATATAATTTTCTGAAACCATTTTATGTTCTCACATAGTGTCACGTTTGACTTTTAGTTATCAAAATTGGTAAGGTATAAGGACAATATATATATATATATATATATATACACACACACACACACACACACACACACACACTAATTAATTAAGTAGTAATAATATACTTAGTGGTGGTAG